TGTCTCTCGATATGCATTGGATCTTATTGCTAAGGAATTGGAAAGAGTGCAACAGATAGGATTGGACTCATCAAAGGGTGGATACGTATTGAGACATACATTTGGTGTCCCCCACTAGTAAAAAAAAAGGATTAGAAAGTGCAATATACGCTTCGGTTTAAGCGAACCCGAAGCGTATAAAAGCGTGGTGGCAGATTCGTCATAATAGCTTAAGTATATGCTTCGGTTGTCCCATGATCAGTGCCTAAAGGATGCTACTAACTCGGTTCTACGTAAAATCGAGGCATAAAACTCTGCCCAAACCTGCTCCACCTGACAGCTGATGGGTTTGATAAGAGCTACTAACTCGGTTGCCCAACAACCGATGCCTAAAGGGCACTACTAACTCGGTTCTAGGCGAAACCGAGACATACAACTCCTGCCACCTAGACCTGCCAATTGCTACTAACTCGGTTCTGATGAAAACCGAGGCATGATGTAGTCCTACTAACTCTTCATTTCTTTGATCTTTTTCATTTCCACAGCCCAACATCTTCTTCTTCCCTCGTGCTCTCACTTCTTCTCTGTCTATGCTCTCCCATTCTTCCTCTCTATTCTCTCCCATTCTTCCCCTCTCTCGCTACTGTAGCCTCCGCCACTCTAGATCCACCGCTCCAGATCGCCATCGCCAAGCTGCTTCAGATCGGCGAGCCCTTCGTCGTTGCTGCCTCCGCCATAGCTGCCTCAGCCGCTCTAGATCCACCGCTCCAGATCACCATCGCCAAGCCGCTCCAGATCGGCGAGCCCTCCGTCGTTGCTGCATCCGCCGCTCTAGATCCACCGCTCCAGATCGTCATCGCCAAGCCGCTCCAGATGGCCAAGGCGCTCCAGATCGGCGAGCCCTCCGTCGTTGTTGCCTCCGCCATTCTTCCCCTCTGTATCTTCATCTTCATCCACCGCTCCAGATCTACCGCAAGTCGCCGCTACCCTCTCACGCCTTAATGGAATGTCGTCGCTGCCCTAGACCGACAATCTTCCTCCAGCCGTCGAAGCCCTGTGTGATTGGAAACCCTAAGGGAGCTTCCTGGTTCGTTGCAGAAGGTGTTCATCTATAATAAAGATGAAGTTTAACAGTGTTAGATCTGTGAAATTTTGTAGATTTTGGCATTGTTCTTGAGGCCAAACCAGTGAAGACTCACAATCACAAGCACTTTGGGTTTCTGAAATTGGGAAATGTTAGGTCTGTTTTGATCTCGGATTGGGATTGGGATTTTCCAGTTGCGTGAAAAACAATGACTTGCACCACTCCGTTTCTGGTTGCGTACTGAAAAATAGGTTGCATCTGAAAAAAAAAGGATATTGCCTCGGTTATCTAAGAATCGAGGCATATTCCTATCTAGTTTTATCTCAGTCCATGACCGAGGCATAAAATCTGTCCTTTTTATCTCGCCCACATATGCCTCGGTTGCAAAACCGATGCCAATAATAAAAAATAACCGATGTCTTTTCTTCTTATTGTACTAGTGCCCTGTGCATGTGAATTAGCACGGTATGATGTTGGATTGATCCCTTTGGGTGAATTTCATATCATGTGGCGAAGATGCATTTCTCAAATGTTGAATTAAATGAAACCGAGTCCGAGTTATCCATTAAAGATGAGTTGAAAAAAGTAGAAGAACGATTCAATGAGATTGACATTGGAGGTAAAGTCACCATCAAGTAGAAGTTACTTGACATTACTTGTCCTAAATTGACATCAATGGTCCCTCCAATACATAAAGTCAAGACAAAGGGTGCTAAAAAAAGTAAAGTTCAACGAAGAGAAAGGTCTACAACGCGGGATCCATCATATTTTGAGTATGTCGATGACTTTCATTCAACCATAGAATCTTCAACTGTGAAAAGTAAATTACAATCAAAGCCAAATGTAATGAAGAGAAAGAGAGTTCCAATGATAGACCAGTTTCATTCTAGTACTCACCACTTCATTGTGGATGTTGTTGATGTTGTGGCTGATGGTCATTGTGGATATAGATGCATTGTTGTGTCGTTGGGACTCAGAGAAGATTCATGGCCCGTTATCAGAAATGATTTGTACAAAGAACTCAGTCAATGGCATGATGAATACGCAAGCCTAGTAGGAGGGTATGATAGACTAGAAGACCTAAGGAACTCTTTGTTGGTGCAGTCACAGTCGACACTGTTTTATGTATTTTATTTATTATATTTATTTTATCTAACAACTTCTTTTATTCATAACAGGCTAACAGGAATAAGTGGATGACATTACCAGACATTGGTTATGCAATTTCTAACCAATATAATGTCATCTTAGTGTGTATGTCATCATCTCAAAATTATACTATCTTCCCACTACGTTCCATACCACTTTCTGATATAAACTCAACATCGATTAATTTGTATAGGACATGTTCATGGATTTCATTTCGTGCAGGTAATTGTATTATTTTGTGATTTCATTTGAAAATTACTTATGACTCAATTAAGTATTGTAATTTGTATTATGGCAGGCTAAGTTACAAGAAGGTTGTCCTTTGCCCATGGTGAATATCATCTCCTCAACCCACTGTTATCTTGAGGCACGAGAGTGGTCATCTATTTATACTAGTAGGATGCAAGCATTTGCACAGTTGATGGACGTAACGACATCTTATGTTGACTTGGGTGATTCATGATATTTATGAAGATATGTAAAAATACACTATTACTTTTTGTTAAGGTGTAAATTCAATTTTAAGTTTTGTGAACCAATAATTTTGAAATCCAGGCAACTGACTGTGATGGAACATAATTAATATCATTATTACGAGCTCGATATAAACTCCGATAATATATGTTTAATTGTCGGAAACATTGGTTATGCGATCTAAATTTTATATTGAGGAAATACAAAATATTTTAAGAAATGAAAATGTATAGCTACATTAACAATGCTAAAATATTAAATGCATTATCATACAAATGTTAAAATTAAAAAGTACGACTACATTAACAATGTAAAACATACAAAAAGTAGTAATTTACTTAAGGTCAAATTTTGGAAAAGAAAATTATTTAATGAACACTTAAGGTAAACATTAGTGTATCCCAAATAACACATAATCTCGTGAGTCATAACTTGTTAAAAAAATGAAATACAAAGTCCTATCAATTAGACGTCGATCATCTACCATGCACATGCCTCTGCCCTCTCCTAGTCGGAAAATATTCGTCTAGCAATCTGAAGCAGGTCCACCGACACCTGATGTTCAACAGTACCCTCGATCACATGACGACAGGATATCAACGATATTAACATTCTCGCCATTCGCCTAAATCTAGCCTACATTATAAATATATCAAACAAATAAATAAACATGGTTAAGAAAATTTAATAACATAAGCAATGAAAAATAACATACCACGACGCCAGATGGTGAAGGTGGAGAGGATCTACAATGGGGTCGTGCCTCCTGTGGAACATTGGGGCGTTGTGTAGGCGCAAGAGCCGGTCTCGCATCAAGTGGAGCAGGAATAATATAGGGATGTGAAACTCTCCTAAACCACTGTATGTATCCATCGACGCATTCAGAAGGGTATGATGCATGTCTCACATTGATAATAACGTGATTCATGAAGTGCAACCACGCATAATCAACAATGACTACATCTGCATCTGCAACGACAGTGGGTGGTCGTGGAATCTCCTGGTAAACCCTAACAGCCTCATCACACGCTCAGGTAAATGACGGGAAAGGGTGTTACCAATCTGAATCCATCTAGAATACATACAGATGCCGAAGAATAGACGAATGCCCCGATGTCCCTCGTATGGATGTCATACAACTCCACTATATCTCAGGCCATCCAACTGTGATCGAATCTCTACAAGAGTCGAACTCTGCCGAGGGCTCTGCCACCTAGCCGCACGTGGTGTGGTGTCATCATAAGAAGACACCAACTGCCTCCTTCCCATGCTAGGGAAATGCTCGTATATCCAACTCTACAAAAGCAATTATTCAATTAAATATATTTCGTCTTTGAACATGGAAATAAGTACATCAAATAAATGTGAAGGGTATATGTCTATACCTGAAACAAAGTCAGAAATCCAGCCATCTACTTCGTGGAAGCCAGACTCGCATCCCCGAGCTAGTCGTACAAATGGGCGAGTGCAGCAACACCCCAAGCATATATGTCACACGCGTGTACATCTCTAAATAATAGTAGGTAAGACACACATATAGAAGTGACACTTTTATTTGCAAAAATTGTGCATCCTACTAGATGCAACAGATATGCTCTGGCAGCATAGTCCCAATGCTACGACTAACACCTCTGAACATATATCTCTCTAAGCAAGCTGAGTCTAACTTTCGGACCACGTGCATCCTCCATCTCAGCACCAGCTGCGCCACCATCAATGCTGAGCAGGTCTACAAGGGTTGTACGAGCCTCCTCAAACTCCAACTCCTCCAAATCACATAATTGTCCCAGTACCGGAAGGTGAAGTAAAGTGGAGAGACATCGTCAAAGGTGATCGACATCTCCCCTACAGGAAGATGGAAACTACTTGTCTTAAAGTCTCATCTCTCTATGAAACCGAGCAACAAGCCCTTATCAACGTGTTAATAAAATATTATTATAACCAAACAACATGCGCAAATTTTGTTATAATACATGTAAAACTCTATTTGTCATATAGTAAATTCCATGACTTTCATAAAATACACTAATAAAATAAATATATATTTAATTTAGTTTAGGGATAAACACAATTTATAAAAATAATTAAAAAAATACTTAACCTATTTTTTTCTTCAAAATAAATCCTCAAATATGTATATTGTAAGAAATATGATTCCTTTTGATCTCCTAAGGAACTTGTGTTTGGCAATGAGATGAGATGATTGAGATCCTTGAGAAGATGAAAGAGAGTGAGAAGATGCAACTTTGATCTTACCCTACATCATAATTCACATCATTAAGTGTTTTTGATAGAAGGAAATGACATCTTAACCGTTTTCAGAAATTGGGTGCATGAATTAATGTACTACAAAAACAACTTTGATAAAGATTTTTCAAAATGCAACCACCCTCTCATAACAACAGCATAGCATGTGAGAGAGATATACCTTACATGCATTATTGCCAAAAGCATGCATCTTATAATTATATCTTTCTTTCAACCCTGCAAATGCTAAATCATTTCTATCTCTTCATCATCAACCACAATAATATTCTTCCTTCAAACTGAGTCTTCAAGACAAAACTAACTTGTGTTGTTAAGTTCTATTTCTTTTTAGAAATCATTAATCTTTTGAGATTTATAATTTTAATCAATGTTTAAATTTTGTTAAGTATGAACTATTGCTTTTACTAGGTTGATGAAATATACTGCCGTAAATGTACCTTGTATAGCTTTTCATAAATTGAAATGTTTAATTCATTATCACATTAAATGACCTTGTAAGAATACTATATGGTATTTGTTTTAGTGAAAATTTTAGTTTAATTTCCGAAAAGCTAGATTTTGATTTCTTCTACAAGAATGTTTCCATAAGAAATTTGACCAAAAATCATTATTCAGAAACGTTATTTACCACTAAAAATAATTTTTTAAAGTAAAACAAATTTGAGAAAAATGTCTTCCAACATAAATATTTTGAAAACTAATTATTTTTCCTATCAAATGTATCCCATATAGAAAGAAAAACATAAAATATGTTTTTTCATAATTAAACTTTATTTATATATAGATTAAAAATCAAAATTTGGAAAAACTAATATAAATTATTTACAAACTAATCTATATATAAGTTAATTTTAATTTATAAATATTTTTTAAAATTTTTAATTTTCTTTGTTCTTAGTGTTTAGAGAGAAAATTGGAATTAAGTTGTAGGGTAGAAAAAGAAAGTAGAAACATTACTTTTCATTTTAACAATTATATTTTAAATTGATATTGAAAAATAAATATAAAACAATAACAACAAGTTTTACTCTATCAAGTGAATATGCCTATATGAATCAGTGTCACGAGACTCCTTCAAACACATCAAATCTTCAAAGTCTTTCTCTTTTTATTTTAAACTAAAATTCATACTATATACACAATACATAATCTTCTGATTGATGTTTCCAGTTATCTTCTTTGTATGCATCATCCTAACCAAATTTATACCATTTTCTCTCTTTAATATATACAAGTATTATCAAAATATGAAAATGAAATTCACCCCCTTTTCTTCCCCTTCAAACTCCAAAGATAAAACTGTTTCCAAATTATGAACACAGAATTCAATGAACTTGTTAACAAGTTTGGACTAAAACTTGTGTAGACATGTAGTTGCTTATGATGACAACAGCAGAACTTGTCATTTTAAGGATGACATTGTGAAGAAGATGAGAAGGAAAAGGCATTATATTGACATACAAAATATTTACTTCTGATGATCATCAAAGAAATGCACAATTTCTGTCTTATCAAAGTGACCAAAAAAAAAAAATAAAAGCAAAATCTAATTTGAATGGCTACTTTTTCTGCCATGCTTGCCAACATGGTGCAACCATCCAATGCCTTTGATGGCCTTGGAGAATTTGAGAAGATTAGGTCTTCCCATTCCTAAATTCATCTTCCCTGTTGAGAATTTGAGAGCCTGTAAGCAGCACAACTTACCCTCCATGTCCTCCTCTTCCTCTTCCTCATCCTCATTTTTCTCAACCTCACCTTTCTTCCCTTTCTTGGTCTTGCTCTTCTGAAGAACCTTGTTGGACTCTGTCTCATAAGTCTCCCAAAGCATGTCCATTCCTTCACTCCCATCTGCATTGTGCCTTTCCTCAAACAGCTTGCAGGCCAAAGTCCTCCTCCACTCTTTCTCCACTCTCATTGAACCAAAACCCCCATGATTGGACCCAAATACTTCACCATTTCCTATGCCTTTTCCACTGTACACCCAGTTGCTTTCTGGACTCCCAATGTTTGCTTCCAGTCTTTGTGATAAAGACTTCACCCTCCCTGATGCAGCAAAACCAAACTCTCCATCACTCATAGGACTTACTTTGGATCCACTTCTCAACCCCAATTTCTCTTTACTTTCTTCAACTTTATTGAACTCAGCAATCAGTGGCTTCACTTCTTTCTGCTCCTTTTCACAACACAAATCTTCCAACCCTTCATTTTCTTGGAACAAGCTTTCTAGGCTCTTGACTTCCACAATTGGCACACTGGCTTCCACTTCATCAACTTTTTCAACACTGTCTTCATCCAACACTGTTTGCTTCTCCACATGTATCTTCCTCTGGGGACAATCTTGTTCAAAACTCTGTCAGGCACTAAATATAGGCAAATCTTCCAATGGAAAATCGAACTTTGGTTGTGGAACAGGGTTTTCATCCAATTTGGCACTAGCCTTTGGATCTCCAATTGGACAAGAATCTTCTCTTTCTTCAGTTAAGCACTCAACATCAACTGCTTCGAATCCTTCTGAACATTCTTCCACTGACTTGGGTTCAAACACTTCAAAGATTGATGCTTGGAACATGACAAGATATGCTTCAACCTCACCTAGCAACCCCATGTCCTCATCCATCTCATCAGCCTTGGAGTGCAGCCATGCAAGAAAATACTGCAAGACAGAAAGAAGAATGCCCCATTTGGACTCAGAAGGCTCAGAACCGCACTTGTCCTGAACAAGATTGTTGGGAGTAAAAGTGAGAAGGGCAACAAGGAGAAGGGCTGTGGTGATGAACAAAGGGGAGAGGAAAGAGAGGATCCTTAGGAGGTAAGGGGAGAAGAAGATGAAGTAGGAGAAGTACAAAGGATGAGAACAAATGGAGAAACACAAGTTGAAGAAGATGGAAAAGAGGTTACTGGATAACTCATTCTTCTTGGTGGAAGTGTTTGAGAAGGATAACTCAGTCATGTTTTGTTCTTTTTTTCTTTGTGCTTGTGACCAAAGCAGAAGAGAGAAAGAGAGGAGATTGTTTGGATTAATAGAAAACTAGGAATGGTGTTGTTTTGTGTGTGGATTGTGTTATGATTTTGCTTTTGGAAGTGAGCACGGCGTGAATATAGGCGAAGAGATTGGAGAGAGAAAGTGAGTAAGCGAAGAAAGAGTAAGAATCACTTCGATTTATGAAGAAAAAGCATCTTTAGAAACTTTTCTCCCTTCTCTTTTCTTGTCAATAACAACCATCAACCACTTACCCACCTCAATTTTTTCTCTCTCACGAAATTACACAAACATCTTGTGTCCCTTTTTTCATATTGCATACATCAATTTTATGTTTCTATCTAACTTCTTTAATTATTTTTAAAATACTTATTAAAACCCTTTATACATCACAATAACATCTTTTAATTATTTAAAAAGTTAGAATATATAGATATCTCGTGTGAGTGTACTGTGCAATAAATAATTGATACTTAATCACATATAGCTGGTGTAATAAACGATAATAAATGAAGGTGTACATATACACATATAATTTGATGTAAGAACTAAACAAAAAGAATTGGGTGAGTTTTTATTCAAAGAGCATTATATTAGAGTATGTGGACAGACAAACAAAAAGAATCTTATTTACTACAAATAAACATAACTATCAATCTCTCTCTATATATAAAAAAAGGTTTTAATTTTTATTATTATTTATTCTATTAACTTTGTTCTATTTCTTAATACACAGTTTAATTAAGTCTTTCAATTTTAAAACTATAATATTTCAAGATTCAATCAACTCTCACCATTTTTTAAAAATACAATAGTATTATTTCCTATGTAATGATTGATGTACTTATTTTTATAAATTATATTTGGTTAAAACATGAATTATGATAAAGTTAATAAATGACTTGGATTTAAAATAAATACATAAATGGTCGGTATTTTTTTGATAATTTTTTTAATTTAATATAAAATACTATTTTGAAACGGATAAATTTAAGAAATAATTGAGAAGAGATTACAATGCATCTATTTACTAAGAATAGTTAATTTTAAGAATCAATTAATAATATAAAATTAAATCTGTAAGATCCAACTTACATAAACTATGTAAGAAAACCAACTTTGGCTACCATCAAATTTGCATGGCACAAAATTATTCACCTAATTTGTTAGCATTACTTTTTAGGACCAACTCTAGGTGGTGTTAGCTAAGTTGACGTTGAATAATATTTTTTCTTCTAATATTAGTTTAATTTGTGTTGATTTGATTAACGTTAATTGCTGGAGATTCCATATTAATTATAGTTAAAGTGATTTCATAATATATAAAGTGAATTCAAATAATTTTACAAGTCTATTTTGTAGGGTTAAGTTAAGTTTTAAGTTAACTTAACAGAGTCATGAGTAAGTCTATCCTAACGAGATTTGTTGATTTGTTATTTGTTTGGCCTATTGTGTCACTCGCTATCGAAATATTTATTACTTGTTGATCTTATCGTACTACCTTGTTATTGATCAGACAACCTATTAATATTCAGTCTCATGCTCGAGATGTATATATCTTAGCATAAACGAATATGTTAGAGATCCCACATTGATTAGAGATAAGAAGATTTCATCATATATTAGTGAGTATAAACTTCACTTTACAAATCGGTTTTGTAAGATTAAATTAGACTTCCATTTCTTAACACTAATGACAATAACTTAAAAAAATCTCATAAAATACCTCCATAAAAACGACGCGACATATTAAAAGGTTTAAAGAATAATTATGATGTATTATTTCAAAGATTAATGTACCATATACGTACAAGGGTCCTATGATTCCCCATCTATTAAAGGAATGATATCTGTATAAATTATAATAATGCTTAAATTATAGCTAACAGAATATTTTACATATCTCAACACCCTCACTCAAGTTGGTGCATGGATATCACACATTTCCAACTTGAATAGAGACTCATTAAATACTCTGCTTGACACTCCTTTTAGAACATTAGCCAACTGCAATTCTGATTTTACAAAGTGAAAAGAAATTATTCTAGCTTCAAGCTTCTCTTTGATATCAATCTCTACATGCTTTGTTTTATCATGTTGCACAAGATTGTGAGCAATTTCTATAGCTAACGTATTTTCACAATACAAACTCATAGTTTCATTTGGTTTAAAGCTCAAATCTGATAACACATTTTTAATCCACAAAACTTCACATACACCTAGTGTCATGCCTCTAAATTCTGCTTCAGCACTAGATATTGCTACTACAAGTTGTTTTTAACTCCTCCAAGTTACAAGATTCCCCTTACAAAAGTAAAGTATCTAGAGGTAGATCTTTATCGTCTTTTGAACCTGCCCAATCTGCATCAGTATACCCTTCTACCTTTAAGTTTCCATGATTTGAGAACTGCATCACCTAATTTGTTAGCATTACTTTTTAAGACTAACTCTAGGTGGTGTTAGCTAAGCTGATATTGAATAATTTTTTTCTTCTAATATTAGTTAATTTGCATTGATTTGATTAACGTTAATTGTTGGAGATTCCATATTAACTATAGTTAAAGTGATTTCATAATATACAAGTAAATTCAAATCTCACTTTATAAATAAATTTTGTTGGGTTGAGTTAAACTTTAAGTTAATTTAACATAGTCATGAGTAAGTATATCCTAACGAGATTTGTTGATTTGTTGTTTGTTCAGCATATTGTGTCACTCACTATCGGAATATTTATTATTTGTTGGTCCTCTCGTGTTACCTTGTTATTGATTATATCACCAATTAATATTTAGTCTCATGCTCGTCTCATGCTCAAGATGTATATGTCTTCGCGTAAACGAATATATTGGAGATCCCACAATGATTACAAATAAGACAATTCATCATATATCAGTGAGTATAAGCCTCCCCTTACAAACCGATTTTGTAGGATTAAATTAGACTTTAATTTCTTAACACTACTAACAATAACTTCACAAAAAATCTCGTATAATACCCACTACAAGAAATAATGGAATTACATACGGAATAGTACATATGGATTCAAATCCGTATATAAATTAGGTATTATATACAAATGTTGTATATGGAATTTAAAAAATGATTTATATACAGATAAGTGATGAAGATCAGTTGATGTTCATGTTTTGATCAATTGCAATGAAGGTCAAGATAATTTCTATGGTGTCATTAAACACATCTATGAGTTGGAATACAATTCAACAACCAGTGAAAAGAAAATTGTATTATTTTATTGTGATTGGTTTGATCCATCGAGAGTAGGTAGAAGGGTGGATTCAAAGTATGGCATTGTGGATATTCGAATGGATAAAAGATATATGTTGTTTGATCCTTTTATAATTGCACATAATGTACAACAAGTGTATTATGTACCATATCCTACATCACGCACGGACAAACGAGGTTGGTGTGTTGAGATAAAAACGAAGCCTAGAAGTCGCATTGATTCTAATGATGTAGAAGCCGATGTGCCATACCAAGTGGAGGAAATGTCACATGTAAATGACGTCATTGAAGTTGAAGAAGTTGTCCGATTACAAGATGTAGAAGTTGGTCTTGAAAAAGTGGACCCCAACAATATTTCATCATTTAAAGGACAAATGAATGAAGATACAATTGAGTTAGAAGAATACAATGAAGAGGGACAAGGTGAAGATGACAATGAAGATGAATTTCAAAGTTCTAGCACTGAATAGAGTTAGGACGTGTTCCTGATTTATTTTTGCTGCATTTATAATGTTGTCCAATTTAGAAATGTAGTATTCTAATGTAGTAGGCCTTTTAGGCTTCTATTTTGCAACACACCTAGTATTATTTTAAAAATGTGAGATTATTGATGGTTGGAGGGGTATTTGCAACGTGCCTAAACTAATAATATAATTATTATAATAAGGTTTCTTAGTTGAAACATGCATGAATGGAAACTAGATTATTATAATTAATATAATTTATTATAATAATTATTTTAATATAATTTTAAATGTACTATTTCTTGCTGGTCCTGATACCGTGTCACAATGTGTTGTGCATTTCCATGACCTATAATTTGATTTATTATGTTCAAGAATATGGCATCAGGTGGTTCTGGCCCTCCTCTTCCACTTTCAGGAAAATCTGATAAGGGCGAAGGGGAAGAAATCTTATGTAGTCAAGTTGATGACACGTTTCAATAATGAAATTGGTTCAAGCAGTCAGCAAACTACACCTACATCTACCTCCACTGGTAGATCTGTTCCATCTTCATTAAAAGTTCTTGGCTTGACTCCCACTCCACATGAAGTTCCTACATCTACACCTACCTCCATTGGTACATCTCTTCCACCTCCATTACAAGTGCCTGACTTGACACCCACTCCATACCAAGTGCCTACTGATTGAATGGCATCACTCTCTCCTAATGTTGGTTCTAACCCATCAACTCCCACAAATATTGCACCATCACCTGGTACAGAGGATGCAGATCCACATTCCAGTTCAGCCACCAATGACGTGGAAGAATGTTCCAACAATCGTCCAATGGTTACACCCGTTGGAGGAGGGTAACAAAAAGTTTAACTCAATTAATATATATAGACAATTCATTGTTGTATTATTCTAATGTTTGAGTTTAATTTTGGTTTAGGTTTTATCCTACAAAAACTGCATCGAAGGCAATCACAACCATCATCAAGCAACAGTTTGATGAGCCATGGCTAACATGGGGACAAATCCCTAAGTCAGCCAGAGATGTTTTCTTCGACCATTTTAAGGTAGACACTTTTCAATCCCAATCCTTTTACACTGAGCAACTTTATCAAGATCAATTAGTCAGATTCTTGTTTTCATTCATACACCAAACTAGTTATTCCTTAGACCATACCTATATGTTATAAAGATTTCAACACTCCTACTTATTCAAACCTATTATTTCTAATATAACAGAGAAAATTTTCATGGAAGCCTGAAGATGA